CCTCCAGTGCTGTGACACTAATCAAAGTCTTGCCGTTCCCGGGACCTGCCGGACTTTCTCCTGCTCTCGGGCCTTCGCACATGCAGGTCCCTCCGTGTAGCTCCCCTTTCCCTGCCCTCCTTGCTGGACTCGCTGCCCCACTGTTCAAAGCTCTCGGTAAGCATCGCCGTTCTGATCTTCCAGGTGGGACTCGGTGCCACTGGGAACCATTTTTAAGTGCCCTCTTGAAATTCTCTGCAACGGTCCCCTCCCGAGTACTTCACTGTAATTGTCTCTTTCCCTCCAGGTGCCCCAGGCAGGGGAGGCGGCGCCCCAAGTACAGCCTCGGAGCAGACCCCCGCCCTGCCTTCTTACAGTGAGACCTCTGGGCAATGAACGGACCTTCTGGGCCACGAAGCTGTTGGGACTAGGCAGGTCAATGTGTGCAAAGTGCTGAAAGCTGCCTGGCCTGTGGAGAGCCCCAAATAGCACCGACGTCATTCTTCTTCCTAGGGATCTCCGCCCCTGGTACGGTGCCCGGCACTCAAGGTGTGCCCGATAAATAATTACTTTCTTGAGCAAAGCATTTTAAACAAATACTCTGTAAAAGGATGCATTCCTAAATAGGTGGCTCCATTTCAATGCAAGACTTACCACCTGCACACAGAGAACAAAGGAAAACGCCGTTTAGAAACTCAGATTTCGAAGAGCTCGCACGCTAACTGCAGCCACCCAGGAGGCGCCACTCGCGTGGCTCTGGCGGTGTTGCCCATAAAGCTTCGTCTGCACACAGCCTCACCCATTCGTTTTAATTCCCTAAACTGCCCCGTGACGAGCCCACGGCCTGCAGAATTTCATGCTAATGCTTCTGGAAGTGCTGGCAGTTTCCCTCTGGCAGGAGTTTTGCAACTCCTGACTCAACAACTAAAATTTGCTAAAAATTTCAAGACAAAACAGTTTCTAAGAACTTCTTCTGGTCCAGTGGGAGAGCACGAAAGAGCCTTTGAGACCTGTGTTCCTGTCACAACCAAATATTCCTTGCTGCCAAATGTCTTCACCTGGAGTGTATTTACTGTCCCCTGAAGACCTAGGCATACCAGAAATGTTACAGATTAATTACGTCAATTAATCCTTGAAAGAGAAGATGACTAATGGGGCAGAGGAGAGGAGGGAGAGGGACTGAGAGAACGCAGGGTGAGGAAGGATGCCTGGCTTTCAGAGATGAGCCCATGGGTGTGTGGCTGGAGTGCCACACCTGCCAGGACGGGCCCCGCGCCCACAAGCCCCGGACTCTCCTCTGGGAATGTCCCACCCTCTATGTTGACACACGGGCAGGCGGCACGGAGTCTTTCCTGTTAGGCTCTGGCCCTGGGACTCTACTTCATTTCCACCAGGCCTGGCAGAGGGAAGAGACCGGCCAACATTCACCTTCCAGGCCTCAGGGATTCGGGGGTCAGGGAGGCAGAGGGTAGCACCCCGGCAGGGCCCCCGGAGCCATCCACTCCTGACGCTCTGACCTTGCTCCGTAGGTCCTCTCTCTCCCTCCGAGGACCTGGATGCCCTGGAAGGTCTTTCATTCGCCTCAGCCCTCCTGTGGGTGGGGTCGGGCTAACCAACAAGGACTC